TTAGGGCTTCAAGGAAGCACTATTTGCTCGTGGAAAGATAGTTACAGTGCTTGTAAATATGCTAGTCACAACCAACTCTCCACATGGTCCCATAGCGACATCCCGCGGGTATGTAATGCTCGCGATGGTGCGGACAAACTCGCTGGCTTGTGAACATGTCTACCCGGTTGTTATTAGAATTCGCCACAATGATGCGACCAGAGGTGTCAAGACAAATACCAACGGGAGATCTCAGTTGCCCCTTCCCCTGTCCAAAGGTGCCGAATTCAAATATCTTTACTCCGGAGGGATTGTACTTCTGGATGGTTTTATACCCATCCGTCAGCAGGACATTTCCCTCCTTGTCCGATGTGACTCCCCAAATCCCGTATACCGTACGCACTTCTGAAGTCCAAATACGAGAGCCGTTTGGATCAAACATCATAATGGTTGTTTTGTCTCCCACGATAACTTTATTGTTGCGCACGTCCATCGCGATGACGGGATAGACGCCCTTGGAGATAAAATCAAACTTTTTGATGGGCTGCCCGTTCTTGCTGTACTGTGCGACATGTACTTCAGCGGATCTCCCCAGTACCCACAGGTAGCCGGGCCCTACGTCCAAAGCAACACTTAAAGGGTACATTTTCTTACTTTCACCCGGCACGACGGTTGGAAAGAGGCGGAGAAAGGTCCCATCAATATTGAAGACTTGGACTCGTCTGTTTAACTGATCAGTCACAAATATCTCATTGTCAGCAGACACGGCAACTCCGTAGTTAAGTTCGAATTTTCCATGTCCTTTTCCCCTCCCACCAAACGTGATCTTCTCCGGCTTTACGTCACAACCTTTTGCCATGAGTGATAAAAAAGTATTTTCCAAACTAAAATTGAAAACATTTACATTTACACACGCCACGCACGCGCACACACTCTGATGCATAAAGCTACTTTTACTCACCATAAGAAATAACCTTGTTCATTGTCCAATGCAATATCCTAGCATTGCCTCATGACACAGAGGGACCAAGTCTAAGGCATTGTCTCAAGAGAAGCAAAGTCTTTAAAACATTGTATAATGACAGAGGGATTAAGTTTAAGACATTGTCTAATGACACAGAGGGACCAAGTTTAAGACATTGTCTAATGGCACAGAAGGACCAAGTTTAAGACATTGTCTTATGACACAGAGGGACCAAGTTTAAGACATTGTCTAATGACACAGAGGGACCAAGTTTAAGACATTGTCCAATGACACAGAGAGACCAAGTCTAAGGCATTGTCTCATGACACAGAGGGACCAAGTTTAAGACATTGTCTAATGACACAGAGGGACCAACTTTAAGACATTGTCTAATGACACATGTACAGAGGGACCAACTTTAAGACATTGTCTCTTGAATATTTGTGTTACACTTACCTTTGTGATGTGGGATGTTGGAGACTGCCGGGAGCTTGGGGATAGATCCAGTAGTAGCAGTAGCAGCAGCTTTAGTAGTAATAGTAGAAGCGGCAGCAGCAGTAGTAGCAGTAGTAGTAGTAGTAGTAGTAGTAGCAGTAGCAGTAGTAGTAGTAGTTGTAGTAGCAGGAGAAGTAGTAGTAGCAGCATTACTAGCAGGAGTAGTGGCAGCAGTAGTAGTTGTATTCGCTGTCTGCTGTTGATAGAGGATTATATTATATTATTTATATGCAGGCTATCGCAATCGGTTTATGGAGATCATGATAAATTATTTGAACCCTGTCTTAATTTGATAGATGCAGGCCAATGTCAACGAATTTTTCACCAGACTATACTGGAATAAGTACAACAAGGAATAATAATATTGTCTATTTCAAAAATATAATGGAATTCGAACCTCGCCGACAAAGCAACAATACGAAAAGTTTAAGCCTTGTGTGTATAAAGCATCTGTTTTTTTTTTTTTTTACTTTTTGGCGACACCTCAGGGGGATCCTAATGGTACAGTAGGAATTGTACAGGAATTTTTTTCACAGGCATGGAATGTTTACATTCCTGGGTTCGTTCACTATACACTGAGGTTAGGTTAGGTAGGAGTTATTTACTGAACTGCGCTATACCTGTATAGACTTAATAAATATAACAGGTTACAAGGTACATGTACAAAATGTATACTGCCAGTGATGCTATTACCCTTATAAAGTATACGGGTAATATAAAGGGATGGTTACCTCAGGAAATGATGAACAAATCGACAAGGCTATAATAAGACGAAGCGTACCTGTGGCGGCCTGGCGCTTAAGGACAAGCAGAGAAAGACTCCTGCGACGATGAAAAGCCCAAGAACGACAGCCGCTTCAACTGCAAACATCACTCGGCGACGCGTACAGCCTGAAATATTATAATGTTGGTAGTAATCATAGTGAAATGTTGGAACTTTATTCCAACAACAAGTAGTACATAGAGGTCAAATTTTCTACTGTCGCCTTCATCAGGATAATTACTGACTAATCACCTGAAATATTGAAAATACATGTAAATGATTTTAGGGCGTTGTGTCAACAAGGGAAATGGACTCAGTAGGCGTGTAAAACAGGAAAGAGACATTACCAATGACAATAAAAAAATTCCAACATTTCTCTCCAGCAAAAGGTTTATGAAGTTGATAAAGTTCTTACCGTGCGCTGCAGGATGCTGGACGTTTGGCACGTACATCAGATTTGGATTGAGTGCATGCAGGGCATCATTGGCGTCATTGATGCTGTTTGAAGCCGCCGCTGGTAGATTCTGGGAGGACAGACTTGCTTGAGTGTCTTCTGAAGCTGTGTTCCGGTCCAAGTCACCCTGGCACATGTCTGCGGCAGCGTACATCGGATTTGGATCGAGTGCATGCAGGACATCATTGGCGTCATTGATTTTGTTTGATGCCGCCGCTGGTTGATTCTGGGAGGACAGGCTTGCTTGAGTGTCTTCTGAACCGTTGTTAGTCGCTGGCCTGGAGAAGGCTTGCTGATGTGTATCAGCTGATGTCTGGGTGCAGGGATTGTCATCACTCTTATTTGACTTGAAGGTGGGTCCAGGGCTGCTTTGCAGGTACGTCGGATTGGGGTTAACGTCGTTTTCGGCGTCCATCGGTTGAGGGTTCGTAGCGTTTTGTGTGTACATCGGGTTCGGATTCCTGGTGGGTCCAGGGCTGGCGTTTGGCTCCATGGTGCTTTGCAGGTACATCGGATTTGAATTAGCGTCGTTTCTGGAGTGCGTCGGAGAAGTTTTCGTAGTGTTATGTGTGTACATCGGGTTTGGATTCCTGGCGGGTCCAGGGCTGGTGATTGGCTCCATGGTGCTTTGCAGGTACATCGGATTTGAATTAGCGTCGTTTCTGGAGTGCGTCGGAGAAGTTTTCGTAGCGTTATGTGTGTACATCGGGTTCGGATTCCTGGCGGGACCAGGGCTGGCGTTTGGCTCCATGGTGCTTTGCAGGTACATCGGATTGGGGTTAACGTCGTTTTCTGAGTACATCGGGTTCGGATCCCTGGCTTGTGTGTGCAGGTTGCTGTCATTTGCCTTGAAAGTTGAAGTTTCAGTTCCATTATGGATTGAGCCACGTCTTGCCAAGTGAATGTCGTCATCGTTGCTGTTGTCGGGCGCCATTTTAGTTGCCTTTAGTTTGTTTTCCGTCTCTACCGCAGCTTTCGTTATCCGAATAGTCTGTTCTTTGCATATGTATGCAATGGCGTAGGCATCAAACTCACCAGGGCCGATATCGATTGTCTGACTGTTCTCAGCAGCAGCATCGCTTGTGTCAGACAGATTTTCATCGTCATTGTCTTTATTTTCCTCACATCGACCAGAGATGTGGTGACTGGCACCTTCGGCAGCTTGCCTGAACGTGGATGGCACAGTTCCTGTGTCTGGTTTTGCCATACTTTCGCTGAAGAACTCGTTTATGACGACCATTGCTTTTGGTACGGTGTTGGATGGCAGGTTTTCAGCCATGGCTCCAAGATCTCTTCCTTTGCTTAGTTCTACATATAGTAAGTAATAAGACGAAAACAAAGAGATCCTGCATTCAAATTGTACAACATATACATGCAACATAAACATGCATAACTACAAACATTATAACAATGCTACAATCTACCTTGATGTTCTACGTTGAAATGTAGCGATGGTGATGATCATGTTAAGTCTTTGCTTATTGCTATAAATTGAGCTGCTCAGCACATTTAAACAATTTCTATGCTTAATCCTGTATCGCTATGTGCATTGTAAACACCACTGGAAAAAAGTCAGACAGAATCAAAACAACTTTATGTAGATGAAGCAGCCCACGAGTCGTCTTCTATCTGCCAAACGTTCTGCCATGTGTCAAGTGTATTAATGTCATCTCTGAGAAGGGTGTAATCTCTGGCACTGATACAATTCTGAGCCGATACCAGACAATTCATGTCAACGCTAAGATCAAAGTACGTGTTGACCTGTTTGCGGTGGTGCACGGTGTACCTAGTCTCTACCAGGCACCGCGGATCGCTGGAAAAATAGTAGAAATTGGCCAAAATAAAGGGATAGTATACCAGAGAAGATCCAGGGCCATAGAAGATCCAGTTTGCGACTTGGATGTTCTATGGTCCGGGATCTTCTCTGGTATACTACCTCTTTATTTTGGCTAATTTCTACTATTTTTCCAGCGATCCGCGGTGCTTGGTAGAGACTACGGTGTACCTGATATGTTCTTTTTTTTACATGAAGATGCTTCATTACATATTATCACTCCATAAACCAGTTTGGATGACATGCTCGTCTCGACGATTATCAGTAGAAATTGATTAGTGCGAACAATATACATTTTCTGTCCTCTATCATGAACGAAACGCGTCCAAATTGTGCAGAAAAGTGGCAAGTTTTATCTTGTGTAGTATGCCAAATACATGAACAAACATGCACTGTGATTAAAACACTACTCTTGCCATAAACCTACAACATACGTGTTTAGGCGTATCTATTTTTTTACTCCCTAAGAAAGAATGGAAAATTCACGACTAAATAATATAACCTCTAACTTGAAATCGCGTTCCGCAACAATTACCACAGTCGAATAACAAGCTGAATAATCTCAAAATTGTAAGAAAAAACATGCAAACATGAGATGTGAAGAAAAGGGGTTCAGAAATTCTGTACTTACAGTAAGGCTTCTGCGAGCGACTTGTCTTCAGAGAGAATCGACCACAATAGTAAAATAGAGACTCAGTGCAGTGAGATGATATAAATATTGAATAAACATATCCCATAGACGTCATAAATTCCCCCGCAAAGGTGTCTTGTCTGGTATTGTGTAGTTCTAAACAACAGGGTGTTGAACACTGAAGTCCAAAAATATGTCCACATTGTCTTGTTCATAAGATAAAACGAAAAATCGATTATAGTAGTGAAATACAAGATCTGTAAAGAAAAGTTGTTTCGTAAAGAAAATTTTTTTCAGAAATGTTTTAATGAATTTAGAATTCTAGACGTTAATCTGTCCCTCTCTTGGGAGGAGTCAAAGTGGACTGATCCAACTTTTTTGTCTGTGGTTGTGGGTGTAGGTTTCAAAGCCAGTAGACAATACGTGCATGATTAACCTGGTACTAATATTGAGGTCTGGGAGCTAGTAGACTCTTCATACGTGATGAACTTTAATGTCTTTCTACACCCACGTACTTGTGTCGGTGAAGGTTAGACATCCAGGTGATAAGATCTAGATACGCCAAAAAACAGGTAGTCAGGTAGTGGATGCTACCTGAAAAGTCTGACCGTTTCTAAAAAGCATATCCAATTGCTTGACTAATTGTTTTTTTTGGCGTATCTGTTTTTGCTTTTGTTGTTCCGCACGCGGCATGACCGATTGTGCCACCGTTGTTAAGGTGATGAATAAAGTTCAAAGTGCAAAGTCCAGTGGGACAGCAGGTGGAAGCACAACAGGCGGTGTACGAATTTGTACGCGCGCTTGTAACTCAGTGTCCGTCGGCACTCCAAATGACTTCGAAGACTTTTCTGTAGTATGGAGAACGGTAAGACCAGGCAGAGACGGCAAGGAGGCACTAGAGTGTCGCAGAAACACGGCCAGCGGAATGGTTTGGGTGAGGCGACAGGTGTTCCGAAGAGGGGCGGAGACGGCCATGACCTTAATGAGGTGTGTGGGTTTCTTTGCACACTCCCTGTGAGTTCGTGTAACATAGCACGTACAATCATACAACCAGAAACAGGGGTGCCAGAGTATACAGTGCATTTTTACGGAATACAGTGCAATCGTTAGTATACAGTATACAGTGCAATTTTACTAGTAATTTTACTAGTAAAATTGCACCGTATACTAATACGATTGTAATGTTTTCCGTAAAATTGCACTGTATACTCTGGCACCCTTGAGAACCATGATTTATCTAGAACCATGCTCAGGTAGTCTCCAAGCCAGTACCTTCGGTGGCTAAATTGTGAATGGTCTCTGCTTCTCCATTATGGGTACTGCCTTGCCTTCGTAAGATCTGCTTGTAGATTATGCTCAGGCACGGTTCTGGATCCTAGTGAGAATCGTGCCTGGGGAAAATTTGGTGTGTTCTTGGATACGAGTGTCGTATCCAGAACCGCGTTTTATCCAGAAACATGGTCAGGCACGGTTCTGGATAGCCGACTCCAGAACGGGAAAACATTTGTTCTTGCATTTGCGGCCCTTTCCTGATCGAAACCCTAACCCATTTAGTCATAGAACTTGTAGATAGGCGCGGTTCTATATACAACAGCTCCAAAGTACAATGGGTACCGATCGTGCCACCGATGGCAAAGTGATAACCACGTTCAAAGTAAGCCCGTTCAGGGTTGGACAACTTTTCAAAAATCTACATTGGGCAAGTACATGGTCATTTCCATTTGCCTGAACCAACTGTTCACTCGCCCAAAATATACATTATTTCTATATATTTTTACTATCACCAAGGAAATTGTCTTATTTTGGAGTTGATAATGTTGGATGCTTTAGGTGGTTTGACTTGCTCCAAACACTGTAGTGGCTATACTTTGCGTCAAAAAAATTTACTTGCCCAATCGGGCAAGTATATAGGGGTGTATGCACTTGCCCGAACAGTACTTTTACTCGCCCCGGGCAAGTGGGCTTGTCCAACCCTGCCCGTTCCCGTTGCAGAGTGCCGATGTTGCCTGGTACCGGCGACAGGACGTGTTGGTGTGGGCAGGCGGGATGGCCTTCATCGCTGCGCTTATTGGTGCCATCAATACACTGGGCAACTACAGGTGGGCTGATTTTCAACTATTTGTAATACATGTATAACATGTACATCTAAAAAGGGCTTTTGCTGTGCAATGAATGCTTTCATATGTTAGTTTGAGAATATAAGACTGTTGATACTGAAATACTGAAAGCATGTGTCACTTTTTTTTTGTGTGTGTGTGTGTGGGGCAACTAACCGGCTGTCTCTCTATAGTGGTCACCTGTCACATTGTGGTCAAATTTGGCCAGTCCCTTGAGTGACCACTATAGATATTTTTGACTGTACTTGTAAAAAAAGCTATGTTGAGATTCTTTGGATGGTGCTCAGGCTAGTTTGTTACAAGGCTTTACTCCCATTTTCCAGGGGATGGGACGCGCCGAACGGATTCCTGTATGACCAGGCCAACACCAGCCGAGCTCGGTTCCTACCCGAACCGTTCATAGAGGAGCCAGGAGTGAAGGGGAGATACGGGGTCCAACCTGGTGAGTATAGCCTCTACCAGGCTTCAGGAGGCGGCTGGAAAGAGTAGAAATTGGCAAAATAGAGAGATAAACATGCCAGGGGAGTTGGTCTGCCAGAGAATACAGTTTGCCGCTTTGTTTCCTCTTCCGCTCCCAACAAGTAAGGTCAATGACCTGGACCATACGTCTGTCACCATGGTAACTGATACTGTAGCAGACACCCTGCAGTCACATTATGTAGCAAGTGGCAGGACAGAGTTGGAGGGGCTGGTCACAATATATACATAATTTATATGAATGTGTTTTGAGTAAGAATAAACAGAGCAGTAGTTTGTTGAGCTAGACTATCCCCATATCCAAAGAAAACATTTTGCATTTGCTTTGTAAAATGTTACCTTAAATTCTAGTTACATCTTTACTATTCTTCAGTGATTCGCTGGTACTTCTGGAAGCTCCGACCAGAACTGGTGACTCCGTGGACGCGTCTGTTCGTGTGGGGCTGTTATACCGTACACCAGCTGCTGGCCTGGTGGCTCCTGTACCTGGCACAGGTCAACCAACAGGTGAGATAACACAGGTGAAACAACTATCAGCTGAGCCCCAACATGGAGACCATCACTTAAGTTGACACCGTATCATAGGAGTAAACAAATTCATCGTAACTTCCAGGATTATAGTTTTGGGTGGTGCTTATTTATGTCAGGTTTGTATGTTTGGATTCCAAAGTCAGTAGGCTGAGATTTGTCCAATGTAGGCTTCTCCTTCTTCCAAGGAAATTGCTTAAAGTTGAAGATTAACTATATCTACTTCCCAGAAGTCTGAAATCTTTGATTTGTTCTTTCAAATATGTCCATTTTTTTCCCAAAGTCCCAGAAGGGTAAGAAGTACTCCCCGCGGCTGAGTAAGTACAACTGGGCAGCTGTGGCCGTGCACACCTTCTTCCACCTGATGCACCTGGCGCAGACGCACGTGACGTACGACGCAACCGCACAGGTGAGAGAGAACTGTAACAGAACCTAACGTCTTAGGCCCTTTCCCCACTAGGATAGAATGGAGCTGAATGGATTGGCTTTGATCCGGCTACAATTCTATCCTAATGGGAAAAGGGCCTTTGATTTTCATGCACGTTAAAATCTGGTAAAGGGCAACTTGTACTGTCACATGAAGTTAGAACCATTTTTTTAAATAGACATGTACATGTAACTCACTTGGTATATGATGCCACTGCACAGGTGAGAGAAGATTGATAAAAAAACTTTTCTTACACAACCAAGTGTTTCATTGCAGCCGCTTCAGTGACCAAACTTTTTTGCGAACTTGCAGGACGTGTCCATATTCAGCTCCCAAGGTTCTGTGATTGTTGCCCTGCTGTTGATGATGGTGATAGAGTTTAGGGACAGAGGAGTGTTCTTCAACTGGCCTTCTAGCACCAGTACAGGTACGAATATTCCAAATTCTGTATCTGTATAGTGTAACGACAGGTAGCAAAACCTCAGAACCTTTGTGTTACTTAGCTTGGCCTTTTCAAGACCCTTTATCTGTATCTGTATAGCTGGTATAACCGCCTTTCTCGTAACACACCAGCTTCTGTATCTGTATAGCCGGTATAACCGCCCTTCGGCGTAACACACCAGCTTCTGTATCTGTATAGCCGGTATAACCGCCCTTCAGCATAACACACCAGCTTCTGTATCTGTATAGCAGGTATAACCGCCTTTCGGCATAAGACACCAGCTTCTGTACCTGTATAGCCGGTATAACCGCTCTTCAGCGTAACACACCAGCTTCTGTATCGGTATAGCCAGTATAACCGCCCATATCCAGTTGCTTGAGTAACTGTTTTATTTTTTTTGTATCTTGTTTTTTTTTCTCATCAGACAACATGGGGAAAGCGCTCAGGTCATCGACCCATAGGTCAGTGACCCTTGTGCGGAAGTACCATGGTTACGTCATCATGTGGGCTGCAGTCTACACCTTCTGGTACCATCCAATGGAGAACACACTGGGGCACGTGATGGGGTTTGTGAACACATGGATATTCATGTTACAAGGGGGTCTGGCCTACACTGACATGCATCTCAACAAGTGAGTTAGGATCAGGCACAGTTCTTAATAGTCTCCAGAAAGTTATTTGTATAATGATTGTATCCTGAACAGTGCTTATTGTATCCAGACATGTCTGTCTAGTTCTATGCCTGAATGGGTTAGGGTTAGGATCAGGCACGGTTCTGGATAGTCTCTATTGCATCCAGAATGTCTATCTATAGCCTAGTTCTATGCCTGAGTTAGGATCAGGCATGGCTCTGGATAGTCTCCATTGCATCCAGAACTGTGCCTGTGCCTGAAACATGTACATTCTGCTCTATACATGTTCAGTAACAGTTATGTCTAATGTGAAAACTGTAAATGTGTTGCAGATACTGGCGCTTCGTACTTGAAACCTGGGTGGCTCTACATGGGGCCATTGTGGCCTACCAGACTGGGGGGCCAACAGGGTACTGGCCCATGTTCACCTTCGGATTTAGCGCCCTCGTGGTGATCACTCAGGTACTGCAGCCAAGTCCTACCTGTTTTCATACTCGAGTACATTCTGATCCATACATGACTGCTCCTTCAGTTGTTAACAAAATTTCTCTCCTATATATTTGAAAGACAGCAGTATAAGTCCATCAAAAACATCATGTTTATATCTTAACCTATTACTGTTGAAACAAAATGTAAACCATGCAGGGCAAGTTTCTGTATCTGTATCAGTATAGCCGTTATAGCTGCCATTCAGCGTAACACACCAGCTTCGCAGGCACGCGGCGCAGCAGCATGACAATGCCCCTACTGTACTTGGTGACAGCGAGTTCCACTCTGCGATAGTTCTAGAAAAGTAGTAAATACACAGTACATGGACTGGAGCAAGTAAACATCAGAAATATCTGTATAGCTTCAATTTTACCTGCACTAACCTGCATATGCAGGTGGTATTTCCAGCCCTGGCTTGTACTGACCATGTTCTAACCATGTTTCTCCCATTCTACCTTCCAGTTATTCACCCTCCCCTTCTGGACGAGACTCCCACCATGGACACGCTACATCCCCACCCTGGTCTACCTAGCCATCACCCTTTATGCCTACAGTGGTCTGCCTGATGCGAAGGGACGCCTATGGACAAGGCTATGGGAACCAATCATCATTCCGCTCAACCAGTACTTCTATGCACTGGTCATATGTGGCCTTGTCACGCTGTGTCTGAACATTGAGACCAAATTTTACGCCTCTTTCGTACACAAGAAGGCTGGTACTGTGGGGTATGTTGCTTGCGTGGTTGGCTTTTTGCTGATGTATTTAGCTACGATTTTGATGTCGTGGGCATACCAGTACTATGATGTACAACTACCGGGGAATCCTATGGTTTATTTTGTATCCGTCTTTACTCCGTGTGTGATTGTTGCCACCTTCTTCGTCAAGCGTTTGGTTGAAGCCAGGGGTTAGCCTAGCTTCAGTGCACAGAACCAGTCATAATTGCCCAAATGAAGCTTAAATCACATATTTAATTAAAGATGAGATCCCGTCTGTTGCTATAAAAGGTTGTGTCAGGAAAGACTCGTCTGCAACAAGCAAAATTTCAAAGCAATGTCGACCAAACATCCAATGAAAACCGTGGAAAATCATTGTTTTGCGCAGATGCAGTATATAAGCCCAATATACAAAATGGACAGCAACATTTGAACTGCAGTTGAAGCATGTGGTGCAAAATGAACTAAAAGCATGTGAAGCCCAAAGAAAATAATAGTTTAACTGTTTTATTACACAATAATGAATAGGATATATTTTCAAATGCATCCATGTAACAGCAATATTACAATGCACAAATCTATCTACAGTAACAAAACTGTGACACTTCAAAATGTTCTATCTTACACACTTCTTCCTTTAACCATTCACACATCTTGCTTGATGTATATATACCTTCAGTCTCCTAAGGTAGCCATTTGGCACCAAATCTGTGTTGGTTATGGGTTAGGCAGCAGGGAGAAGATTTAAAAAAAAAACATAACCTTATAACTAATACACTTTTACCAAGTAGATGATACAGATTCTAAAACAAGCTATAAAAAAATTAAATTTTACAGGGTGATACTTAACAAATTACAGTTGATGATTACTATCAAATTAGACTTTATTTCTATTTATAAAAGACTTTTTACAAGTTTCAAAAAAGGCTTATTACTGTTTTAGCTAAAAAGAGTACTTTCAGAAAACTTTAAAAGTTAAACCTACTGATCTTCTAAAAATACTTAAAAATGCGCTTGCAAAAATAGCAAAATAAGACACTCCAATGTTCTCTTGTATAGCACAGAGTTCTAACAAAACTTGAACCCTAAAACAACCAACAAACAGCAACGATACAAATGTCATAGGATCTCAAATTCTGCCACTGTACATGAACTAAAATCAAGGGAAATGTTTAGTTACAATTGCAGTGACGATTTGTGGAAATGTGAGCATACAAACGCGATAATAGATTTTTAATACTCTCCAAGCAGAGGTTTGGGTTATTTTTGGCGTGTTTTTAGACTTTTTTTATTGAGGTTTCTTTTTTGCACTGGAATTTTTCTTTCTTTTTGAGTGAAAGAAAAATTCCAGTGCAAAAAAGACTAAAAACATGCCAAAAATAACCCAAAACCCAAACCTCTGCTTGGAGAGTAGATTTAAAAAAAAAAAACAGAGAATAACAATTTGGTGTGCCCTGTAGTGAAGTTCCTACTCACAACTGTAACTCCTCCTCGCTTCTGTCTTGTGTTTGTCCACCTTTCCTCAACCCTTTAAGTTGGGGACCTCCATTTTTCTGACGTCGTGGAAGTACACGTGGTTGATCGCTGCCTTGGCAGAGATGCGCTTGTTCGGTTCGTACAGCAACATTTGCTGAGATTGTGGAATATAAATTTGAATGTTAGTTGTTTATGTCTATGTAATTTGTTCTATTTCTTATGTCTGCTTTTCATGTATCAAGGGACATCTGAAAAACAGGCCAGGGACCCGAGTGTGTACATGGGAAAATGAACAAAAAAGAAATAAAACAAAAACAAAAAACACCACCATTGAATCCGTAGCCTTATTTTTTCAGTCTGCAAAATTGCAAGTTGCTTAATTTTTCTTCTTCAACATTGAAAATGTCTCTGCAAAATGCAGACTGCTGATGGGTATCTTTGACTTTGACTTTATTGGGATCCACACTTAGTTTACAAAAATTGCATTGTAGCTATCCTTCCTGTGGTCCTTCAAGACACTCAGGACACACATTTACAAAACATAAATACATTGGCAACAATTACAACATATGAACACAGCTTAAAAAAGGCTATATATATCATCATTTTCTACCACTGAAGTTGAGGTTTACTTACAGCGAAGAGTTCGGTTCCCTCAGGTTCGAGACTAGCGAACAGTTTGGAGAGGTCCTGCCGGGGCCAGCGAGGGAAGGTGGGCTTGTAGTCTGGTAACTGGGACACACCTGGCCAGGTCGTCTCGTCTGGGGTACCTGGGAGAAAAAACATGGGAAGTCAGGCCACACCTGTCTATTTCCTTCATTCTTTCGCATTCTAACCTTTAATATACTGAAGAAGCTGTGTGGGCAGAATGTGACTTTATTCACACCATAAAACTGAGCGTATCAAACCTGGTTCTTAGGCTTCGTTTTCATCAAGGTTTTCCAGTTCAGCAAAAAAGAGAGTAAAATTTGCCAAGGGAGTCCGGCCGCAGGGAGGTAGTTTCTTCCTGCGGTCAGTCAAACCTACAAGGCGGCCAAACTCCCCTGGCAAATATTCTCTTATATATAGCCAGTGTAGTTAGTCTGGTAGAGACTACACTTGTGGTGTGTTAAGCCTTAAGGTTGTGATTGAACAGTTACTGGAGTAATGTAATGCAAAGCAGATATGAATGTTCATGATGTGATGAGTTTGCAATAGAGCTCGTGCTACGCTGTGGAAAAAATGTCTTTGCTGCAGTACGACTACAAGCATCACAGACACAACATTTAAACAGTGGAATGTTCATACTTACATTTAAACTCGGTCAAATCCTGAGGGTTGTCAGAATGTAAGGTATGACAAACATGTCATGAGTCAACAAAACAACTGTATTTCTCTTCCAATAAATGGAGTTTAACACATCATTTCAAAGAGCATGTTTTGTTTTATATCCATAGATTTTATTGCAGAGCTACAAAGATCATGATATAAAACATGTCACACTCTAAGAAATGACATGTAAATGAAATACTCCACCTTCATACATCGGTAAATGTTAGACATCCAAGTAATAAGATATGCCAAAAACAGTTACTCAAGCAACTGCAAAATCATATCCAGTTGCTTGAGTAACTGTTTTTTGGCATACTCAACCTTCAGCCTGCTAAGCCATCCATTTGGCACCAAATTTGGTTCTGGTTTTAGGCAGCAGGGAGAAGGTAAAGAGAATGAAATGTACAGGGAAAAGACACAAACTAAAGGCCTGGGTGTCTTTTCCATTCTATCAAACATAAGATCACAAACCGTCCGGACATAAAAAGACTCTTCCATCGTTCACTTCGTGAAGAAAACTTACCCAAAGTTCTGAAGACTCTGAAGAGCTGGTCGATCTCTGAGTCTCCCGGAAAGAGTGCTCTTCTTGTGATCTGTTAAAAAAGAGAAGAGCATCAGTAAGATATGGCATCAACTGCCTCTCTCAATCTACAAATATCATTGTTCCATCCGTTCCATCCGTCCATCTACTTAGGTTTGGCTCATTTTTCTTAGAAAACTCTTACTTCAACAACATCTGCAAACTCCTCTGTCAGTGTATACACTTAGCCTGGGTTCCATCCTGGTTAGTTTACGTCCGCTCCCACAGTCGCTACCACCAATCAGTCTGGGGAACCCAGGCTAGTATACACTGGCATCCAGTTTTTATTTTTATCTTTGTATGTAAAATACATGTACATGTAGTATATGTACATGATGTGCTTTTAGTGTTATGGGCTGTTGAGGGTCTGAGTAAAATAAATAAACAGTATCAAATAAAACAACATATTTACATTACTATACATACATCATGTTTACAAAAACTGATGAAAATAAATGTGAAAAATCAAAAATCAAAGATTAAAAAAACCTACCATCTCTGCAAAGATGCACCCGATACTCCAGACGTCTACAGGTGTGGAGTAGAACTTGGAGCCCAGGAGGATCTCAGGTGCTCTGTACCACAGGGTGACAACCTGGGGAGGGGAACAACATGCAAACTTTTTAACAAAGGCTTACAGTTGCAATCAGTTCTTTCCACTTTCAATGAATGGTGTGTTACGCCGAAAGCCAGTTATACCGGCTATACAGATACAGAATGACATTTGCAATGACATAATTTGTGAAGTCTAGTGGATAATGGCCCAGGAGGATCTTAGGTGCTCGGTACCACAGGGTAACCACCTGTTGGACAGGTGCAACAGGCAAAGGATGACATTTCCTTCCACATTCAATAAAGCAATCACTTATTGTGTGTAGTCTAGTGAATAGCGACCCTGCCTTTCTACAAGTACATTGAACAGTGGACCACAGCTTCACATCCTGTCCAGTGGCATGCCTGCCACTTGCGTGACAACTGCTGAGATTCAAACTTGCAATCTCCTGGTCCCTAAAAACAACCACTGCACGCTACTTAGTTCCTTCTGGATTCTGCAGTATTGTTTTAGGTGCCTGAGCTGTGTGCCTATTTCAGTAATTGTCTCAGAGTAGGTTGACAGCATGTCGTTAGGGGAAAGACTGGCAGGCAGAATGACAGGAGGACATCAGGGATTAAGGAAGCCAAGAGCTGCATACTTCCAGGAAGTCTGAAATTTCTTACCAGTTGTTAGATGTTAGTAGTCAGTATTCGAAATACCTATCTGCATTTTGCAGAGAGATTTACAATATTGCAGAATGAAAGTCCTACAATCTACAATTTTGCATTATCAAGTTAAGATGTTGTATGTAGGCTTGTGTATTTGCAGAAAGTGTTTCCAAAATTGCAGAACAAAATTTTCACATAGATGCAATATTGCAAAACATTGAAAAGAAGTATTTCTACCACTGGTAGTTTTAAACTACACCTCCTTTTGTACCCACCTCATGTGTGTAGGTCCTGACTGGGACACCAAACGCCCGCGCCAACCCAAAGTCTGCCAGTTTGATGTTTCCCTCTGCATCTATGAGCAGGTTCTGTGGCTTCAGGTCCCTGTGCAGGACTCGGTGGGAGTGACAGTACGCAATGCCCTTCAGGATCTGGTGAACATAACTCTGGTGGGGAAAACAATGTACTGTGTCAGCAGGTAGAATCTGTATCTGTATAGCCGGTATAATCGCCTTTCAGCGTAACAAACCAGCTTCTGTATCTGTATAGCCGGTATAACTGCCTTTCGGCGTAACACACCAGCTTCGCAGGCACGCGGCGTGGCGGCAGCTGGCTACATTACACCGAACGACTTGTTACACCTAACCCTTGAACATCTAACTCTACCAGCACCTAACCTGCACTGGTCAACATACTGGGTTTATATACAAATGTAGGTGTAGGTGGATGTTCAAATATAAAAGAAATCATGGCAATGATTTCTGAACACTATTTAGTACGATCTGTACTTCTCAAAGTCTGAGTAGTGCTGGTAAAATGTGTCTGGTGCAGGTAATTTTCAGTGTTAACTGCTCCAGTACAGGTATGCAGAAAAAAAGGATTTCAAGCCCTGCTACCTTGACGAGCTCAGACGGCAGTCCTGAGGGAGGTGCACTGTCCATGTACTTCTTCAGGTCCAAGTTCAGGTACTCAAACACCAGGTACAACTTCTTCTCACTGTGAACCACGTCTAGTAATCTGTTAGGTAAAAAAAAGGATAAGTTAAGTGGAATGCCACTGGGTAAGGAATCAAAATACAGATCTAAATGTCAACAAAACAAACATATACTGATATAGGAATTATATGTTGTTAGTTACAAGTTAAGTAAAAAAAAATGCCCGACAAGTGTGTGCTTTACTTTGCTTTTCTTTTGACATATCATAATAATTATGTGTCCCCGTCACAAACATCTTTCAAAATGATAATCCTTTTAATTCATCTTTGCTGGAGACTATGGGAAGTTACCAAACCTATTATAGCTCCAGAGTCCTACAGCCTATTTGCGGAGAGGATGTAGGACTCGGGAGCTATAATAGGTTTGGTAACCAGGCTACAGGTACCCACCCCTAATGGGAACACAAAGCTTGCTATAATATATTTAATATATTCTATGTGATTAAACCTCTAGTGTGAAATGAGAATATTACATGCAAGAGACCAGAAGAAGTATTTAGATTTGATTTCTACTGACCTGACAATGTTTGCATGGTTCAGCTCTTTCAGGAGTGAGATCTCTCGGATGGCAGTGCTTGGAACTCCTTCTGATTCACTAGTACAAAACAAAACATGGTGTTAACTTTTATACATAATTTATCATAAACTGATAATTGATAGGAAGGAAACATAGCAGTAATAGTCTATTAAATAATAATTAAAATAAATCATTCTATTCTATCTAGATTTTAATAATAATGATTCTCTTCAAAACGTCAGTTGCACAATGGAATGGTTATGAAATCAATAAAATTAAGTGCAGCCTTGCAAAACCCACCCTCATACCATGGAGGTAGAAAAAAGTGAGGTGGTCCGCCCCCCTCCCCACCCTGAGTGTTAGACTACGTGGCTTGTTTACAGAAAATTTACATTTCTCAAAACTCTAAACTGATAAATATATCTCTTAAAGTAGCATCCTCTGCATAGCTGACGTCATTATCAAACGACATGCAGTTTTTAGTTACAGCGATATGCAACGCTAGAGAAACACATGGAGAAAAATATCTCAAAACAGACGACACGAATTTGAAAAAAAAATCAGTTTCCACAAAATTCCGTACATAACACGAGAAATATTCTGTCAGAAAATGCCAACTGGTATCATTTTTAACCACTAGGATCATCAAAATGTATAAGGAAGATACTAAAAGCTTGCAATAAACTACAGAAAAAGGGTAAAATTGCTCGGAAGTGAAAAATTATTTTTTGGTCGGCATACTCACGTATCTAGCCTGATTTTCTTGAGCGCAACCATACGGCCTGTAACTTTGTCTTTGGCCTTGTATACGACTCCGTATGTCCCCTCCCCAATCTTTTCTATCTTCTGGAAGTTATCCATTGCTTCAAAAATCTATTACGGCATCGAGATGGACGATTTTTTCCTCAGAATCGGACGATCGGTGAGCTCACACAAACAAAGCGCTGGTCACTGAATGAATCCGGGGACGCCGACATTTTCCCGCGTTTTCTCCAACTGACCTGGGAAGTTATTGGTTCAGGTTTCCCGCCAAATCCGCCATACTGGCTCCCCATTGGTCCAAACGTCTGACCTCCACCTCACCTTGTTTCCGGTTACATCTTTTCTACCCCTTTTTTCACAAACTTTCTTATTACAAAAAATGCACTACTACGTACAATTAATGTGTGGATATTACAAAACTACAAATGCAGCTTAAAGGACTTTTCTTTGAACAAATATGTTGACAGTATATCTAACCTTTGACCTACACATACCCGGAAGTCAACTGAGCATCTGGGCTGCGGCAACTTTTCTGCTAAAAGTAAGCAGTCAAATTTCTTACTTTTGTGTGATTTCTACTTTTCATATGCTTGAAGATGGCACAAAATACTTAAGACAATGCAATACTTGAAACTGTGGTCTTGTAAGTGCATGTAGCACTAAATATGTGCCTTAAACCTTCTTGCTTGGACTTTGGTCTTTCCAACTTTGTACTTGACAGCACTTTATAAAAGTTTGTTTCTTTTTGCCAGACTAGTAAGTTTGAGACTACCAGAAGATGTCTGGAAACGGACAGTACCTCGGACTAGACTTCAGCACCCAACAGGTGAGTTTGTGAGACGAGTTTTGGGTTATTTTGAGGGAGAAAGTTGGAGGGGGCGTGGCACAGGTGTGTACAGGTGTGTGCAGGTGTGGGTTGGTCTTCTAAGGTCCAGTAAACTTGAATTAGCTTGCCTAAAATAAAATTTCTGTAATTTTTTTATATAAGGCGAAAGGAGTTTTTAACAATTGCAGTTGACTTGTACTAAAAGTCAAATATAATGACATTTTAGAATGAAATATATTATTGTTTTACTTTATCATTAGTGGTAGAATTCTTCATATTTATCTGTATGTTTGTATTGTATTGTATGTCACAGTTTAAGGCCACTCAATACTTTTACTTCTATGGTAGAACTTTAGTAGTATGGTATGAATTATTATAGAAATGGATAGTGAGTGTGTGTCAGTGAAAAGTAGAATAACTCAGTAATAGTAGTGTCCAATATCGATTGGTGCCTCTTTATGTGTATACTTGTATTGTATGTCCCACATTAAGGCCTTAGCTACTTTTACTTTATGGTAGAACAGTAATAGTACTGTCATATATATCCAAGGAGGTTTCCATGTAGTACCGGATAGAATCACTATAATAGTAGTATCTAAGTGTCCAACATTAGATTGTCTTAGTTTGTATGTTTGTCTCATTATGTTCCAGATTAAGGCCATAGCAGTGGATGACAGTCTGAAGGTAGTGACCGAGGCTGCTGTACAGTTTGACACCGACCTGCCTGAGTTCAGGTCAGCTGAGATTAAAATTACTTACTCCAGTATACTATTAGTTGATTTAAAAGTGGTCTTTCCTGGTTAAACCTCAGTCTCTGTTAGAATAACAACACAGGTTCCAAAACAGTAAAATGTACCCAAATAGGGGGAATAATTGGCCAGGGGGGGAGTTCATTTGCCAGAGAGGGAAATGAAATCCTAACGGTGAACCCACTCCACTGGCCCCCTTAGGAAGCCTTCAAGGCCTGGTGGAGGCTAAGTAAACCTTCAGCCTACACACTGATATGGCCTTTTGGCTAACTTCTCTTTACAACATCACCACAAGATTCAATAAGGCAGCAGGGGGTAGCAGGTAAAAAGTGACCAGTTTTGTGTATTTTGTCTGTCTAGGACTCAAGGAGGGGCTCACCAACACGACGATGGTCTGACTGTTACAGCTCCTACAGCCATGTGGGTCAAGGTATGGGAATACTAGATATCCATAGATATAAGTATACACTAGATATAAGTAATAATCCATACAATAGCACAAAGAAAATCACAATGCAAAATCATGGTAAGATTGGGATATGCATCACAAAAAAAGATGAGTTTTTTTCCCACACCGTAATGATAATATACTCCATCTAACTTAATGTTTTTTTTTTTAATTTCATGCTTCCTTGCCTCCAGGCTTTAGACATGCTCCTCTCCAGGATGAAGGCTTCTGGTTTCAACTTCAGCCGAGTCAAGGCTTTGTCTGGAACAGGACAGGTAGGGCATGCAGTAGATACACAGAAATCACTGCAGAGTAAACAACTGAAGGTGTTCTGCATCTCAGTGTTTTTGAAACAGTCTGCAGTAGGAGAATACATGGTTTATGTAGATGCATGAAAAACATGAATTTCCTTTGTATCTAAATATCTAAGATAACAGAACTGGTATACGATCGAAGAGGATAGTTCTTTCCTCGTTATATTAGGAAGAATCAGTCACATATAGATAAACAATTAGTAGAATATTCATAAATCAGTGACTTTTTTTTTTTTTAGTAGCAAACACGTACCTCCAAATTTGGAGGTACATGTTTGCTATGTTTAAAAAAGTCACTGATTGATAAATATTCTACTAACAGCAAGAATGTGACCATTTTGGATTTCTCTATGCAGCAACATGGCAGTGTGTACTGGAAGACAGGAGCAGCCTCCACTCTGCAACATCTGCAGCCAGATAAAACACTGTACGAACAACTCAAGGTATGGAGAAAGGAACTAGGATTTTTGTAAAAGCTCTTATTTGCAATTCCATGCCCTGAGGCAAGTGGATAGATAGATAGATACATACATACATACATATATACATACATGCATACAATACATATATATATGATTAGGATATAGTGCATATAAACACTAGACCAGCCTCCAATCTGTTTGAATAACTCCAGATTTGGAGGAACCTTTTTGCAAGCATTTTTTCATCGCAAGTTCAGATCTTAAGGTTAATGGCAAGTAAATAAGTACTTGAGTAGTAGAGCACACAATTAGTATTTGCAGTGCAGTGAAGTTTGTGAAAATGATTGGGAAATAGGTAACTGGACAGGATAAATAACTGTTCCATGTATCTTGAGAAAAATGAGATGCTTATATATTAATTAATGCTGATTGGTCAATACCTAAAACTCGAGCAGAGCGCCCTGCACCAGAGAGGCTCAGTAAAAAGTATAAAAGGAGGAGTGGTCCGATCTCTGTCATTCTTGACAAAGACTGAATTAAAGTCGAAACCGGTCGAATTCCGTCTCATCGTTGTCATCTTCCCATCGCTACGAATGATGTTCCATATGTTGTTTGATATTTTCAGGACAGTTTTTCAGTGGAAGACTCCCCCATATGGATGGACTCGAGCACCACGGCCCAGTGCAGGCAGCTAGAGCAGGCAGTGGGAGGGGCACAGGTAACATGATTTTTTCCAACACATAAAATACATACGATAGGTGTATGTATTTGATGTGATGTGACAAATAAAATACATACTTCTGGTTCTGGTTCTCTGCCATAGCTTAGTTGGGGCAGCATAATGTTTGGCAAAGGTTTTCCACTGCTGACGATCTTCTGCCAGTCTGGCTATCTGGTACATACACTTATTGTATGTATGTTATGTGTTGGAACAGAGCATAAACTTATGATAAAAGTACATACGATAGGTGTATGTTATATACGTCTTCCAGGGCCCCGCTGTAAAGCAGTGTCTTCACAGAGACAGTCTACCCTGGACAAATAAAACAGAAATAAACAAATAGAGAAAACTTCAAACTATTTCCACACATTTTTTGTGGTATTTGCTTGTCTGAGAGTCACAGAAACAGATGTGCAGTTTTCAATGAAATAACATGAGGTTTATTATTGTGAAAAATGTTATCCTCTTCACAGAAACTTGCAGACATCACTGGCTCCAGAGGTTATGAGGTAAGGCTCAAAATGTCCTTTTATATCTTTATTATAAAAACAGAAGTGTTATGTAATTTTACATGAGTTATACTGGTATATTCGTAGAGACTCCGAAACCATTATTTTGACATAATTTAATTGAGGAAAAACTGTAATGTGTGTAACTTATCGTGTTTAATTTTTGTTTTGCTCCCACAGAGATTTACAGCAAACCAGATTGCAAAGATCAGCCAGAACAACAGAGCTGCATATGACAACTGTGAGGTAGTTATCTTTTTCTCCTTTTTCCAGACTCTGTAAGTTTGAAGCAAAATATTACAAATTGACCACATAGCCTGAATGATTGTCCAGAAATGTTAGCCAGCAATAGGCCTAGGGTTACCATTTGCAACCCAATCTGGTCGAGATGTTGTTTGTTTTTATCTAGTCATGAACATGTCAAATCGGCCTACAGGCTGCTTCACATTGAGTAAAACAGGTGTCTTATGCCATAGTGGCGTCGGTGGCGCAACGGTTAGAGTGTTGGACTTGGAACCGAGAGGTCCCGGGTTTGATACTCACCGTGGCCCGACGTTTTGCCCTTGGGAAAGGCACTTTACACGACTTCCCCACCTGTACGGTGGAGTGACGCCCACCAAGCCTCTTGGGCTAATCTGTCTAACTGTGTGCCAGAAACAGTCACTATGGATTTGGTGCGCCGATGTGACAACATCTGCACATTGGCCACTGAGAGCCCTTAAATTTTTTTTAATGCCTAAAGACGGTTTAGTGTTTTATGTGGACGAAGAAAGAATTGAGCGTTGATATTTTTTCCACTTCCTCCAGCGAATCTCCCTAGTCAGCAGTTTTGCAGCCTCCCTGTTCCTGGGTAACTATGCACCCATCGACCATAGCGACGGTGAGTGGAAGTCTTCTTCAATCATAATGTTTAGACTTAACATCTGTGTCCATAATATCACCAGGGTCCATAATATCACCACCTGGAGAAATAGTGTTCTTAAAGATATTTTTACTGCAACATACCCTAGGTATGTACATTTGATGTGTAAAGGAGTGCATACCAAAAGTATGTTGCAGTAAAAATATCTTTAAGCACACTGTTTCTCAAGGTGGCAATATTATGGACCCTGGTGATATTATGGACACAGATGTTACATTTACTTGATAAGAATAGCATAAAAGGACAACATCAACATACGTCGATGAAGGTTAGACATCCAGGTAATACGATACGCCAAAAAGCAGTTACTCAAGCAACTGGATATGATTTCAAAATCGTATCCAGTTGCTTGAGTAACTGCTTTTTGGCGACAACATTAACACTCATATTGGCAGAAGTCCCAGTCTGTAATGGTGAGTGGTTCACTTCAGTCAACAGTTAAAGATAAAGAAAACAGTATGGACTTCAAGTTGCCAGGCAGCAGAGGCCGCGGCAGGCCGAGAAAAACCTGGGTGGAGTGTCTCCAGAGGGATATTAAGGAGTGTGGTCTGTCTAGCACAGACACACAGGACAGAGCCAGCTGGAGACGAGGTGTCCAGAACAGCCGACTGCTGCCCACCCCTGGGACAGGGAAACCGACAGCAGTATAATCTAAACCAGGATAGTGAGGATAGTGAGTGAAAACAGTATGGCTTCTAGACCTAACAAAAAACACTCATATTGGTAAAAAGATATCATAGTGTTGTTGCAGCTGTAGTTTCCCAAGTGATTGATAGAGGGGGCTGCTGTATGGTAGCTACAAAGTCTGAGCATCCAAATCTGTCAGAAATTTCGTTTTTCATTCAAAGGTAATCACAATAATCCATTGAAAGTATCAGAGTTGAGTTAGCAGTAACATCTTACTGATGTGTTTTTCCAGGTTCTGGGATGAATTTGCTGGACATCTGTGAGAGGAAGTGGTCACAACCGTGCCTTCAGGTAAAACTGACTTCATCAGTAATAAAACTAGACATACGGGTATATGAAGCAAGTTTAAACTGCAATTTGTAACACAACAAATTGGACTTACCCAAATTTTTGACTGTACAACTCCAGTCTTTGTCAAGGAATGAACAATCCACCGCTTCCGTGACGTCACACAGATAACACACGTGACTCTGTGAGCAGTGGATCATGGGTTGGTGTTGCAGAAAGTCTGTGGCGCCCCTGTCTCTGTAATTCCCTGATGTACATGTAGATGGCCTCTTTAATCCCTCGTGCAAGGAAGTCCGGTTCTGAGTATAGTTGTACATGTATATCCTTAGAGACTCCAAAGCTATTCTTTTGACATAATTTAATGAGAGAATGAAACACTGACTTGTTGTTTTCCCAGGCATGTGCTCCAGGGCTGGAGGAGAAGCTGGACCAGCCTGTTCCTTCATTTGAAAACCTGGTAAGGCAACAACAACTCATATCAATCAATCAATAGTCTGTGCTTATAAACCTGCATTTCCCCTCTGGTCTCTCAGTCAATGACGAAAGCTAGTGGATACTAGCTGAAATGTCTGACTGTTTCCAAAATCATATCTGGTTGCTTGAGTAACTGCTTTTTTGCATATCTTATTACCTGGATGTCATTGACGCAACAACATTACTCAATAATGCAGACCATTAGGAAATTATTCTTCTATCCACTGACTTTCTTTAATCTTAAATTTACATATTTCTACCTCTTTTCTGTTGACATGTACACTTCTTTTCAAGGGAACTTTTGTATATCAAATTTTCAATTGCAACAATATTAACAATTGGACAATGTATCACTAATATAATTCATATTAAACCAAACCAATCCATATTAAACCCATGACAATATAACAATAGTCTGGTGAGAGGATATACAAATGACCTTGAATGTGAAGAAATGACCTTGTGTGTTGCAGGGTTCCATTTCTGCCTACTATGCAGACAGGTACGGATTCTCCCCTGACTGTAAGGTCATCACTTTCACTGGAGACAACTCAGGTCAGTAACTTATATTTCTACTCTAAACCCCCTTGCAGCTTCCTTATGAACTGCAGCCTTTAAACACACCAGTTTTGTCACACTGTCATTAAGTACAGTACTAGCTGTAAGTTAGGACTGCTCACAGTAGTAAGGACCGCTGCTCTTTTTGATAAGTGCGGTTGGTTTCTTGAGCATGCTTGACTTTTAGCAGCTGCGTGGTTCAAACCTTACAGTCTAGTTTGAAGTTTAACATCTTGAAGAGGTGACAATCACCTGTTATGTCAATCCTTCCACAAATGTTATAAATCTACATAGATAAATAAATAAAGAGAAAAAAGCAAACATGAATTGTTTCCTTTTCTTCCAGGCTCGCTGGCAGGCATGAGGCTACAGCAGGGGGACATCGCAGTCAGCCTGGGAACAAGCGACACCCTGTTTCTATGGTTACAGCAGCCCCGCCCCGCCCTGACTGGCCACATCTTCTGTAACCCTGTGGACGGACATGCCTACATGGCGCTGCTCTGGTAACGGTTGAATCAGCGGTTTTCCACCCTCCCGAGCAGGGTCAGTGACGCCGCCCAAAACAGCTCCCGTCACTCCTATTGTACCATTTTGGGCCATAATAGGATGCCTAGACCTGTTTTTATTTATTTCTTTTTTTCACCCACCTGCTCCATTATTTTTCTAGAAAAATCCATTAACCAAGAAATTAAATTGGTGTGGCCTAAAGGTCCAAGATTTTTCTTTGAAAGGTAAACAGGTTTGATACATCTACATTTGTATATACCGGTAAACCCAGTACGTGGACCAGTGCAGGTAGACATCAGAAATAGGCTGCACAGCCCCAGTTAAACCTGCATTAACCTGCAGGTGGTATTTCGAGCCCTGTATGGTCTAACGTAGCACGTTGGCAGAACGTACTGCGCCTGCGCAGAACCCTGTATTTTCACGATTTTTGTTGGATTTTTGGTCAACGTTGCATCAGAATTTTGCCTGTTGCAAAGGATATCTTTTCCTATGTAACATTTGGAAACTACAGACGGGATGTTAACCTTATATGCGCTAGTACTACCTTATATGAGACGTTCTGCCGAAGTGCTATGTACAATACATTACGAGTTTCACGCAGGTGCAGTGCGTTCTGCCGACGTGCTGTCTAACATACATGTAATACTATTTGTAATTGTAATTTAAGTGTTTAAATTTTTTCCAGCTATAAGAACGGCTCCCTGACGAGGGAAAAGATCAGGGACAGCTCTGCTGATGCATCCTGGGAAAAGTTCAGCCAGGCGCTACAGAGCACGCCCATGGGCAACAACGGCAATGTCGGTGAGGTCATGTGAGGTGATGTTTTACAGTGTAGAATAAAGGCCATAACCTTTTTCAGGCCTTTGGGGCAGTGGGTTGTTGATCCACTGTGTCTGAGACGTGGTATTGGAAAGTTCATCTGTGTTGTTAGTTACATGTTTAAAGTTAAAACTTTTGGTCCAACACAAGAAAGTTCTCAAACCTAGAGCTTTCGACCAGTCACTCTGGTCTTCCTCAGTAGACTGACCCATCGCAGTTCAATGAAGGGAGATGGGCCAGTGTTGACGTCACACTTGAAAGAATCCATGTGACAAGCTTCACTGGGTTAGTCTACTGAGGAAGACCAGAGTGACTGGTGGAAAGCTCTAGGTGAGAGAACTTTTTTGTGTTGGATCAAAAGTTTGAACTTTAAATGAGACTTTTTTGTCTCCTTCCCCAGGAATATACTTCGATGTGCAAGAGATCACTCCCTACGCTGTCGGTGTCCACAGGTTCAACTCTACAGACCAGAAGGTGGGAACTCACAAAAACTATAACCTCCGTAGCAGGCTTATAGAACTGGGGGGTTGGTGGTCTTCGGCTGTTTTCTGATTAGCCCAGTTCTAAACGGGGGTAATTCAGAAAATATCACATAAAAGTTCCCAAAGACCATGAAGACCCCCAGATCCCCCAGTTTTTGGCATGTTATGGAGGCTACAAAAACTACATGTCTTTTACAATGAAACATTCCTTCTAAAAGGGGAGCATTGACTGTTGTTACTAGTAGTATTTTGTTCCTAATAGCATCTGTCCTTGGTGCTGAAATACTGGTGCACTCCCATGTAGGTTGAGTCCTTCCCCCCAGCAGTGGAAGTAAGAGCTCTCGTGGAGGGACAGTTTTTAGCCAAGAGGGCGCATGCTGAGATGCTGGGATACAGTGTCGGTTAGTTCTATCTTATATCTATTTATTTATTACTTCCAAGACAGAAGTATTGTTTTGAGTAATGCTGGTTTGGGTTTGTGTATTTGGTTAGTCTGGCCCCCACAGTTTGTAGGTTTATGTAATATATACTCCACAGTCTCAGTGGTTTTATCCACTATAAGGATCAATGTATAATCTACTGTATGATTGTTTGTGACTGCGACTTCAAAGAACTAAACTGTGAAGTTATACTTAGTATTGTCTACAACCTGTATATTTATTGGTCTTTTAATCCCGTACCTGAATAGCTTATTTTAGAATGTATACCTCTATTTTTTAACATGTCGATGCTTTTTAACTGCAACGAACCAATAAAACCATCTTGAATATTGAATCTTAATCAATAATTGCATGACTCTTCTGTTGTTCTGCAGGCTGCAATACCAGGGTGCTGGCCACAGGGGGCGCTTCTTCCAACACCTCCATCCTTCAGGTGTTGTCTGACGTCTTTAACGCACCTGTGTACATCTTAGACACGGCCAACTCTGCCTGCCTGGGGTGTGCCTACAGAGCTAAGCACGGTCAGGGGTTTTCCTTGTTCTTCGACTTATTTTGACATGGTTTTAGGCATTTTACTGCGGGCTTTCTTTTTTGTACTGGTACCTTTTTTTAGCCTCTACCAGGCTTGGGGAGGCGGCTGGAAAGAGTAGAAATCGGCCAAATAGAGAGATAAGCATTCCAAGGGAGTTTGTCCGTTGAGAGAACATTTCGCCGCACCCCATGTTCTCTCAACGGACAAACTCCCTTGCCATGCTTATCTCTCTATTTGGCCGATTTCTACTCTTTCCAGCCACCACCCCAAGCCTGTTTTTTTATGCCAGCCCAAATTCGGGTGGCAACTGGTAACTGCCTTGTAAATGGATACTGTCTGGTCAATTTGATACTGTCTTTGTAGTCATCAAAAGATGACGGCTTGGAGATTACAAAATCTGCACATTTGCCACTAAGAACCAAATTTTTTTTTCTTCAGGTTGGTTGGGAAGCAGCAAGGTGCAGTTCCAGCAGGTAGTACAGGGGGCGCCGGAGTACAAACTTGCCGTCACCCCCAGCCCAAATGCCAAACAGGTAAGGGACTGTCTAGTAGGTGGATCATTTGTTACTGGAATCCATGAAAGGTGGGTCTGGATGATGAACGGCAGATATATCTCAAGATATTAAGCTGGTGTGTTACGCTGAATGGCGCCGTTTATATACCGGCTATACAGAAACAGATGATCCACGGGATGGATTGCAATCTTATTTAGTAGGTGGGTAGGTGGGGTGAACTGGATGGGGAAGGTCAATTTTGGTCACCTGGTAATTGACCTTGGTACTGCAGTATACAAGTGTGGTGCAATATTTCATGATTGCTCATGATTGTTATTGTTTGGGTGATTGATTGTGTGTTCAGTATGGTTGATATTATTGATTGATTGATTGTTCATTTCCTCAGGTCTATGATCCACTAGTTGGAAGGTACAAGAGGCTGGAAGACCAGATTGCTGGACAATGAACATCATCAGATCACGTGCTCATGTTCTGATGACATCATTTGCTGACAGATCACATGCTCATGTTCCGATGATGTCACTTTGCTGACAGATCACGTGCTCATGTTATGATGACAGCACTTTTTCTGTGTAATATGATCATGATTTTTTTATACGAAAGTTTCCAAAATCTAACCATTTTAAGAAATGATAGCTTGCAATTTCATCTGTGTTGTTAGAAATCATTCTAAAGCAAAGTTGAACTGCTTCCATAGTCCAATCACAAAATTGGACCAAATTTTCAACTGTTCGATTGTTTGTTAGTTTTTGTAAAGGAATGAGCAATCCACCACTTCTGTGATGACACATTATGAAGTTAGTGACTTGGTGAGCAGAAAGTTTGATATGTTCCTGATGGAAAAATGATGTTATGAATTAAGGTAGCTAGTCTGAATTAGCTACAATAAGTGTGAAAGGTACTAATTGCCGTAAAGGCAGGACCAAGTAGATTCATTAATGGAATCTTTTAATTAATCTCAATGCTGATATGTCCCACGTGCAATGAAATGTGTAATATTGATATGGAGCCATCATACATAGTGCAAATAAATGTAGCATTTAAGTTTCTTTTGATCCATAGAAATATGGGAAAACTGGAAGAAAAGGGGGAGAAAATTATTGTAAAAATATTCAATATGTAATACATTATATGGCATGCAGTCACTGATACATGTGAATAAGTATAAACATTAAATTTGATGTTAAAGCTTTTGCTACCTTTTTAAAATCTTGTTTACAAGGTTTATGATCTCAAAATTTGAAAATGAAATTTTTTTTTTTTTGCCCACCATGTTTTTCCCCCTATCGCATTAGATTTGTAGTCAGATGAGGATGTCATCCATAAAATTTACTTGCTGTGGCCTAAATATATTGCATCGAATGAATGAGAATTTCAATACATATAAATATATACTCGCCAACGTTCGTTCACACTGGGTATATTTTGACAACCTTCCTGGCAGCGTCAGGGGTGCAAGGGAATACAGTGCAATTCTACGGAATACTGTCAGTGCAATTTTACGGAATACAGTGCAATTTTCCAGAATACAGTGCAGTTTTACGGAATACAATGCAATTTTCCAGAATACAGTGCAATTTTATGGAATACAGTGCAATTTTCCAGAATACAGTGCAATTTTCCAGAATACAGTGCAATTTTCCAGAATACAGTGCAATTTTCCAGAATACAGTGCAATTTTAGAATACATTGCAATTTACAGAATACAGTGCAATTTTGCGGAATACAGTGCAATTTTGCGGAATACAGGGCAATTTTACAGAATACAGTGCAATTTTACGGAATACAGTGCAATTTTACAGAATACAGTGCAATTTTACGGAATACAGTGCACTTTTACGGAATACAGTGCAATTTTGCGGAATACAGTGCAATTTTGCGGAATACAGTGCAATTTTGCGGAATACAGTGCAATTTTTCGGAATACAGTGCAACTTTTCGGAATACAGTGCAATCGTATTAGTTAGGCCTTTATACAGTGCGCTTTTTACTAGTAAAATTGCACCGTGTACTAATACGATTGCACTGTATTCCGTAAAATTTCATTTTATACTCTGGCACCCTTGAGCGTGCCGCAATGTTTTGCTGCTGACGTTTGCCCACGTTGTTTACCGTACAGTGACCCTGACTTTCATCTTTCGTTTGTTTTTGTTCAGCTCATCGTTTGCGCTTTCATGGCCTTACCCTATGTCAGGTCATGCGGCTGTGCCGGCTATGGACCACACCCCCTCCGGGGAGCAACCGTCATTTCGAAACTAGGCTCAACTGTAGCACGTTTTGAGTCAGGAAGTGAAATATACGTGACTTGGTTATGTTTTAAAGTGTGGTTATCTCCTAAAAACGCCCACGGATCTGTATTTTTAGTGATATCCGGTGAGATATGCAGGGAAAGCCCTCTGGTTTTTGAGGGGGCGAGCTGCGGTTGACGGGCGCGCCTGCGGTTTCATGCATACCGTGGGTTTTCCGGCAGGCCGCGCTGCACTTGAAAGGCGGGCTCTGATTGGTCAAGATTTTTTCATCGTCGCGATCATCTCCAAGCAGATCTTTGGAGGAAGAATGGTAATATTTCATGGTTTAACCCATTTTCCAACAGTTGAAGAAAAATACTAAAAAGGGGCTTTGAATGAACGTGCGCTGATTCAAAAACCAAATCACCAATTGCTTAGACTATAACCGCAAAATGTTCTCTCCCAGCGGACAAACTCCCCCGGCATGTCATCTCTCTATTTGGCCGATTACTACTCTTTCCAGCCGCCTCCCGAAGCCTGATAGAGGCTAGTTTTGATCCACTCACACAGGCAAGGACCCCTACTCTTTTCAATATCATAATAAATAAGTGTGGGATCCCCAAACACGTAACGGGACCTCCATTCAGTCCCCGAGGTCTTTCTATATCATCTTGATTTTTTTTTTCGCATTACATAATAATGTTCTACCTGGATGCCTTACGTCAGACATATCTGCTTGGAGATTACATGTCAACCGCGTAGCCCGTTGCCATGGCAACGATTTGAGAGGTAAAATTCCTTCGGTTTGACGCTGAGCCAAGTGTGCGATGGAACATCCTAGCGACTGATGCCAGGGGTATTGAGGATGTTGGATTCTAGCCTCCACCAGGCCTTTCTACGGGAATACGGATCGGCAAAAATGAGAGTAAAATTGGCCAAGGGAGTCCGGCCGCGGGGAGGTAGTTTCTTTCCCTCCGAAGCGCGGCCAGTCAAACCTACAAGGCGGCCGAACTCCCCTGGCAAATATTCTCCTATATATAGCCAGCGTAGTTAGTCTGGTAGAGACTAGTTGGATTCTGTCCAGTTTAGGATAGGATATACCCCTTCAACTTCCCAGCAAAGTGCCAAATCCCTTTATTGAGGTATTTAAGCGAGTGCTTAACAGTCTTTGCCAAGTTAACAAGGCTGGCTGAAAAATGTAGTCAAATAGGGAAATTCGCCGATGAAGGTTAGACATCCAGGTAATAAGATACGCCACAAAACATTTAAGAAACTGGATATGGTTTTGGAAACGGTCAGACGTTTCAGCTAGTAT